GATGCATTTTGAAGCCAGTTTGGTATATGTATGCTCAGCTACACCATCCTAGTGCCCACAGTGGGGGAGGCAGGTGCTGTGCAGAATGTGAGCCTGAGCACACACACCAAAGCTGCCCCCAAAATATCCATCCACCTTTTGACCTGGCTCATTCGAGATCAGCCTTCAGGACTCAGCAGGAATGTCAGTTTCCTGGGAATGTCTTCTATGGCCCCCTACATCTAACCAGTTCTTCTGTTGTTACTTTGACAAAGCATTCGGCAATTTTCCTTCAGAGAATTTTTCACAATTGAAGTTACATATCTATTTGTAGAATTATTTGCTTAATATTTGCCTTTTTCCTTCTATTTCCCAGACAGGGCAGGCTCTGTAATTGTTTCGTTGATCTTCTATACTCAGTACCCTACCACAGTGTCAGCACATAGTAGGCACCCAGTAAATGTTTGTTAAATGTCACTTCCCAACAACCCATAGGTAGCCTAACCTGTAATGGGCTGAGGGAATAGCCATTCTTTTCACTTAAAATGTGACATTATTTTAAAAAAAGTCTATCCAGAACACACTAAATTACGTGGGATCTTCCAGGTGTGTCTGTGAGATCCCAAAGGCCCTGCAGATGCCGGCCTCTCCCTCTGCTGAAAGCCAGCGAGCCAGTAGGTCTGCAAAGTCAGGCCAGTGCCTGCAACTCCCCACCTCCTGGTGCCTTGGGAGAGGGCACTGTCTGAGCATGGAGAATTGAGGTACCTGTAGGATGTCCTGATAGAGCCATCCAGAAGACGTGGGCTCTCATTCTCCATGGCACACTCTACAGGCCTGAACTCAGGCCTGGCTGCAGGCACAAACTGCTCATCCTCCTACATGCCCATCACTCCGGCTCATGAGGGTGCCTGCCTTAGCTCTCAATCTTGGAAGGCTTCCCCAAACCATGGTGCTGCCAGCTACAGGTCAACATTTTCCCCTGTCTATGTCAATTACTACCATCTATCCTCATGTATCTTTAACTTATAAAGCACTTATAAATACATCGTTTATTTCAAAATTTACAACAGCAAAATGGAATAGATAGGGCAGGCAACCTTAGTCCCATTTTACAGAGGAAGAAGTTATGCTGAAGGATCAAGGATTCTCCAAAGTTTGGGGCTCATGCTAAGACCCGAACTCACATTTTCAAACTCTAAAACCAGGCTCTCTTCAACACTTCTGGCTGTCTCTCTTTTAACAAAGTCCTAACTACAAAAAAGGAAAGAGGAAAGGAAGGGAAGAAGGAACAAGGATAGAAGGAAGAAAGGAAAGAAGAGGGGGAGGAAACAAAATGTTTTGAAAAGGTGTAATCCACTCTGTATAACTGAGAGAATTTGGGATACAGAATCCTGGCTCTATCCCAATTAACTGTGTGATTCTGAGCATGCTTTGTAACCTCTCTGTGCTAGGTGCTCTGTGTAAAATGGGGATCCTCCTTATAGGGGCTCCTGTGAGGAATGAATAAGATGAAGTGTGCAGAGTGCCCAGGGCAGTGCCAGGTCACAGGGACTACTTAACGCCTTTTAGTTCTCTTTCCGTGAATTCATTCCAATGAGCTAACTGCGCTGAATTCTTCAGCCCACTATCTCTCTTTACCTTACCATGATATGTTCTGAGGACATTAATTCACACTTCCACCACCTATTTACTGCACTTTACGTCAACACTGAAGAACAGATCCTTAGAAACACTGTATAAGCTCCAACCCGAGACCTACCCTCACAAAACCTAAGCAGAGAAACTAGGGAATAAAGAACAGCTGGTTGGGAGAAAAGAAACATAATTTAATTTAAAACTTTAAAATAAAAATCTTCCATTCTGAGTCTTATGCTCACTAAAGCAAATATTAAAGAATTCAAAAATACTTTCTATAACACAGCTTCCTAGACTCTTCCATATACCTTAAATCCAAGAAATACAAAAAAATGAGGCAAATGTTTGACAATTTCAATGGTTAGGTGGCATTGTCTCAACCTCTTTTTCTCCACTACTAAGTAAGGTTCTTTGCCAAAATCATTCAGAGTGTCACACTCGTTTGCCAGGCACCCACCGAGGCACGGCCATGGGCAGAAGGACAATAATGACAGTTGTCTTCAGAGAAAAACCATCCAATCCTAGGACCGTGAGGTGCTTTGTCAACCTCTTTGGCCACTGATGGCTTCAAGCATCATTGATAATTCTTTCCCCAGCAGGCGCAGGCTCCCATGACCATGCATTTGCACAGACCTGCAGTAGGGCCATTGACTGCTGTCCACTAAGACCACACGTCCTCACCAGAAAGAAGGCACCTACCTTGTCAAGTCTACTGCAGTCGCAACTGCACTGCCTTTGAAACTCTCCTTCTCAAACCAAGCCGGAAGGCTCCTCTTCCACTAGACTGGCACCTGTCTCCACAATCATAAGAGGACACTAAACAAGATCTTGGCTTACCCATATTTGAGTTCCCAAGAGATGAAGCATGATACACAGATGGTCTTTATGATTCCTAGAAAATATTAAGACTGATTCTTCAAAGCCACACATAAAGTTGGCTGTATGGATTGACAGACAATCTACATGTATCCATCCATTCCACAAATATTTAGGGCATGTCTCTTATGTGCCAGGTCCTGTGCCCAGAGCCTGGGGAACAAAACTGATTAAGACATGTTCTTGCCCATGGTCCTTTAGAGGAGAGAAGGGAAACGATGCAGGAGAAACATACACTACCAAGCTGAAACTGGTCTCAGTGTTAATTATTGGCTACAAATTTCAAGTAGGTCTTAGTTTTGACTGGACTCCTGCCCTTTAGGTGACCCTTTCCATTACGAAATTTTTACCTCCAGCTTGGATTTCCCACTTGAACTCTAGATGCGTATATACAAATGCCAACTTGACATCTCTGCTTGGATATCTAAAAACTATCTCAAGGGCTTTACCACAGATTTACTACTGTGTCATTTGGGCTCCGGCTACTGCTTGGACTTCATTCTACCACTACGCCCTCCTCCACTGGCTCACTCACTCCTAGCTCCTCTGGAAACAAGTAAGGCATGTCCTTCAATCAGAAATTTGACATTTGATTTTCCCTCTGCCTTGTTTGATGTTACCCCGACAGCAGGACAGCTCCCTCTCTCACTTCCTTCAAGTATCTGCCCAGATCTCACCAGGAGGTCTTCCCTGAGCAGCCCATGGAAAAAAATCACACCCTGCCCACCCCAGATCAGTCTCTGCCTTCTTTCCCCACTTCATTTTTCTTCACGGCTCTCACTACTACCTAATGCATATAAATATATTTTTATTTGTTCACTTCCTCTCTCATTCCCCCATCTAGAACAGCACTATCCAATAGAAATATAATGTGAGACATATATGGAATTTTAAATTTCCTAGTAGCCATACTAAAAAAAAGTAAAAAGAAATAGGGAAAATTAATTTTAATGTTTTGTCTTGAACCTTGTATATCCAAAACATTGGCATTCCAAAAATGTAATCAATATAAAAATTATTAAGGAGATATTTTTACATTTTTTTTTTACTAAATTTTTGAAATCTGGTGGGTGTTTTACACTTACCGAGCATCTCAATTAGACTCAGCACATTTCAGGTGCTCAGCAGCCACACATACTGGCTATAGTACCGGTCGCACAGCTCTGGAATATATAAACTCCACAGGGCAAAGGCTTGTTTTGCTCACTGTTATATACCCAACAGCTAGAATAGTGCCTGGCACATGATTTTTAAATCAACTGATTATTTAATTAAAAGATTTCTTGTCTTCCATATAACAAGGACATATTGAATATATACAGTATGGGAGAAAAAAAACATAGGGGAAATAAAGATGATTACACTAGGGTGCTTATAACCTAGTAAGGGAGGTAATGTTGTAAAGAAATAGAAAGTCTGAGGTACCCCAAGGGAAAAGGAAAGTAACCCATATCAATTTTAAGCAGAGTGGGAAAGGGCATGATTAGAGCTGAGATGTGGTACAACCCTGGCATTGGCAGGCTATTTGGAGGAGTAAAGGCAGAGAGCGGAGGCATAAAGCAGATTGCTGCAATGACTGGGATGAAAAGCGATGAAAGCTGGACTGGGATGAGGGAGGGGGAAAGATGTTGAGAAGGGAGAATTAATAGGGCCTGCCCCTGTCCTGTGTGGGTACCAAGTCAGGAGAGGAATTATAAAGAGTGAGGTTTTGAGCTCAGTGGCTAAGGAAGAAGACAGTGTCATGATAGACCTATGGAATCCTAAGAGATAAGAGATTTATGGATGAGGGGAGCTAATGATGACTTGCCATCTGGTTCTAACACACTAGGCCCAACACATGACCTCATATCTATCACTCTGACTTCTTCACTCTGCCCAACTAAGCAGCAACAGCACTTCCAAGAACATTCCATGAGGAAATATCAACTGCAGAGGAGTCCAAAGACCCCCTCTCTGGGTCTCAGTTTCCTCCTCTATCAAATGAGGAGGGTGGTGCTGGGCCAGGTGACCCCATCCCAATCTGATGGTCATGTTCCTTGTACCAGGTCTTCAGAGCTCTTTTCCTGTACCATGGTAGCTGAGAGTTCTAACAGAAGATTTTATAGGTATGAATCTAATTCTCCAAAGATTTGTTTCATAACACTGTGGTCATTCTTCAATAGTACCTGCCAACAGGAAAACTAAAGCCAGAAGCAAGCTCAAAACAGCCATTGTCATCACAAACTCCACTCATTCTACAGCTAATAATTTACAGGGTAAGCAGCCCAAACAAAACCTTGATTAGGAGTGTGAACAGTCACATTTCTGGACTGACATTGTGATGCTCAGCGTTGAAGCTGGCAAGCCTTTCTACAAAGGGCAGAGCATTCTTCATATAAACCTAAGCGTGTGTTTACATGACATAAAGACTTCCAAACTCAGGGCCAGCAGCAAGGAACACTCTTGGGAAACCTGTTTCACTTGTCCATACATGGTTCACTGTACCCCGGAGGCCAATAGAAGCATCTCACCTTAGTCGTTCTTCCTCTTTTTTTCGAAGATTGAAGTCTCGCTGAACCACCTGGAGAACATGCTCTGTTTCATCATCGGTCAGACCAGACAGGTCCAGCTTCCTCCCCATGATTTAATACCAAACACAGACGATAAAACAAGACCTGAGAAATCAAAGGAGAGACCACAAATTGAGGGCAAAATAAAAGCTCTAGACGGACAAAATCAACCAATTTTGTTATTAAAACAGAATTAAATACAGCGTTTATATAAGGTAGTATCTTGCTCTGGTCTCATACTCAGCAAACATTTACAGGTGACTTCAGCAAGGCTATAGAGAAAAAGAGAAGGTAATTGATCATCTGCCAGTTTCATTCATCTCAACTCTTAAATTAGAAAAGAATAAATAAATTATTCTTTTCAACAAAATGGAGCATACATGAGACCTAGTGTGGATTTCCACAAAACCCCAAAAGACAATATCCAAAAATTCTAAATTTCTGTGGTCTAAAGTTTTAAATTCTAAATACTATATGTAATTATAAAATAAAATAAAGTATAATGCTTTTTAAAAATATCTTATATATACTATATCCCTTGAGGTTTTCATTACATGACTAAGAAATATAAACCAGAAATCAATAAACTCTCTTCTGCAAAAGGAAAAAAATATAGTAAAATATCTTATTTAGCCATTTTCTTAGCAGTAGAAAAGATAATATTTCAAAGAAACACCTCCTAAAGCAGTGTATACCTAAAAATTATGGGAAGTTGTATTTTTAAAGATCATTTTTAATGAATGGCTGCACTCAAGGATGAAATCAAATAAGTAATTCCAGAAAACTAACCAGAACTGAAGGCCATCATAAACATGAATGCAAACATCCTCAACAAAATATTAGTGGAACCAATCCAGCAAGATTTCAAAAGGATTATATACAATGATCAAGTGGGTTTTATCCAAGCAATGGAAGGTTGGTTCAACATTCAAAAATCAATCACTGTAATTCACCACATTAGCAGAATAAAAGGGAAAAATCCCTATGAATGATCTATGATCATTTCAATAGATGCAGAAAAAGCATTTGACAAAATTCAATACCCATTCATAATAGAAACCCTCTGCAAACTAAGACTAGAAGGAAACTTCCTTAATTATATAAAGAGTATATAAAAAAAATAAAAACAACAAAACCCTGCAACTAACATCATAATCAATGATGAAAGACAGAATGCTTTCCCCTAAAGATCAGGGCAAAGGCAAGAATGTTCACTTTCGCTACCTCTACTCAATACTGAATGTCTTTTTATAAAGCTACATTAATCAGGAGAGAGTGGTATTGGCATATAGGTAGTTGTATTAGTTTGCTAGGGCTGCTATAACAGAGAACCACAGGCTAGGAGGCTTAAACAACAGAAATCAATCTTTTCACAGTTCTGAAAGCTAAAAGTCTGAGACCAAGATGTCAGCAGAGTTGGTTTCTTCTGAAGCCTCTCCTTGGCTTACAGATGGCTGTCTTTTCCCTGTGTCTTCATAGGGTCTTCCCTCTGTACAGGTCTGTGTCTAAATTTCTTCTTGTAAGAATGCCAGTACCCTAATAACCTCATTTCAACTTAATTGCCTGTTTAAATATCCTGTCTCTAAATACAGTCACAGTCTGAGGTACTGGGGTTAGGACTTCAACAATTTCAACAATAACTGGGGTTATGAATTTTGGGGTGACACAACTCAGCTCATAACACTTAACCATTTGGCCCCCCAAAATTCACGTCAAACTCATAATCTCTTTAGCAAAGCATTGTCCAGCCACACCCCTGATGTTCTCTATAGACATGCTTTCTCATTTTTTGCAGTATGGATGGACTGAGAATTTTCCAAATCTTCAAGTTCTGGTTCTTTTTGCCTAACAATTCCTTCTTCAATTTATCTCTCTGTTCTCACAGTTTACTATAAGCAGCAAGGAGAAACCAGGCCATGCCTTCAACATTTTGCTTAGAAATCTCCTCAGCTAAATATCCAAGTTCATCTCTTATATGTTCTACTTTCCACAAAACACTAGAACACAATTCGGCCATATTGTCTGCCACTTTATAACAAGGATCACCTTTCCTCCAGTTTCCAATAACGGGTTCCTCATTTCCATCTGAAACCTCACTAGAAGTATCTTCACATTCATATTTCTACCAACGGTCTCTGAGGTGACTTAGGCTTTTTCTAACATGCCTAAGTCTTCCAGCCTCAAAACTCTTCTAGCGCTACCCACTAACAAGTTCCAAAGTCACCTCCACATTTCTATACAGAAGAACAAACAGAAATGGCAAATAACACATAGGAAAAGATGCTTGATTTCATTGGTAGTCAGGGAACCGCAAATTAAAACCACATTTCACACCCACCAAAATAAAAGGTCTTTATCAAGTGTTGACAGGAGGTGGGACAATGGCAAATTTCATATAGTGAGTACAAATTGGTGCAATCTCTTTGTAACATAATTAGGTATCATTTTCAAAGTTGAAGATGCATTTATCGTATGAACTAGCATTTCTGCCACATCTAGGTATATTCCTCTGATGTAGTCTTGCAAATACGCAACAAGAGATCCGAATCGGGTTGAATCATATGAAATTTCTAAGTTTGTACCTATAAAAATGCCTATTTCACATAGTTCAACCTAACAGAAGAATATTATTAGCAGTCACTCAAAAATGGCAAAAAATAAAATAAAACAAAATAAATAAAACCTGAAAACTACCCCAAACATCCATAAACAGGAGGAAAGATAAACAAATAGTGTATACTTGTTTCATACAATGGCATACTCTACTGCAGTGAAAAAGTGCATATTGTAGGTATATTCATCATCGTGGATGAATCTTAAAAACATAATGTTGAGACAGAGAAGTTTTCCACATGTATACACATGTACAACATGCATACAGTATGGCTCCTTTTATATAAAGTTCAAAAACATAGAAAGCCCAAGAATATATATTTTTTAGGGATAAATGTGGTGAAAGTATAAAGAGCAAAATGGGACCTCTGAGGGGGAGAGGATTTGAGAGGGGATAATCACATAGGGGCTTCAAAGCTGTCAGTAATGTTCTGTCTCACTGGAGAGACAGTGCTGCTGCTGCTGCTGCTGCTTATTAAAAGGTTCAAGTTAAACACACTTGTTTATAAGGTACCTTTTATCAGCATAGAAAGTAAAATAAACCTAACACTAAAAAATAATCTAATTTCATTATAATTAAAGCAAATATTTGACATTATGAATCATAATGAATACACAATAATTAAAGCAAATATCTGAAAAATTGTTCAAGGAATATGCTGAGAATTACAATAAAAAATAATGATAATGACTTTGACAAATCTATCATTGATTGAATACCTACAATGTTCCAGATGCTTTAGCATTTCATGTATATATATATACACTACATATATATATATTACATTTAATATTCTTAACTCCCACAAAATCCTATAGACAGTCACTACCATTGCCACCACTTACAGATGACAAAATGAGAAAATGCAGGCTCATAGTTACATGTTCTAAGATTAGTGACAAATGACAGCTAGTGTCTGACTGTCTCTTGGTCTGGCTCAGAGTCCACACCTTTACTCCATGCACCCGTCTTCCTGTCAGATGGACACGGAAACTCTAGACCTCAGGTTTTGAAACTTGAGGGCCAGAGTTCCCTGCCCTCTCTTCCCAGCATGTGGCAGCTAAGAACAGGAGATCCCATTACTTGGTTGCTATTCAGATGAAGCCTGTTAGTCTCCAAATAATGGCAATAAATGCAGAGAACAGAACAGTTTCAGTCCTTAGAAGTCTTTTGCTAAATGATTTAAAATCTCATGACTGTATGATGCAAACTAATCTCAAGATTTAACAAACAAATCACAACAGGAATTCCAACTATTTAAAAAACAAAAAGATTTTTTAACACCAGTAATGCTGTTTGTCAAAAGTAAATCTTTGGGGGCCGGCTCCATGGCTTAGCGGTTAAGTGAGCGTGCTCCACTACTGGTGGCCTGGGTTCAGATCCCGGGTGCGCACCGACGCGCCAATTTTCCAACCACGCTGGGCCGCGTCCCACATACAGCAACTAGAAGGATGTGCAACTATCACATACAACTATCTACTGGGGCTTTGGGGAAAAAAAAGGAGGAGGATTGGCAATAGATGTTAGCTCAGAGCCGGTCTTTCTCAGTGGAAAAAAGCGGAGGATTAGTATGGATGTTAGCTCAGGGCTGATCTTCCTCACCAAAAAAAAAAAAAGTAAATCTTTGGTCCACTTTGCCCAAGTGATGTTGGAGTTGGGGGTTGGGGAGAAGCTAGTGAGCCTGCTGGTTGGTAGAAGTATTAGAAGTAAGACTCCACCCTTTGGCTGCAAAGGGAAGAAAGAAGCTTCATAAGCTGCCATCTTGTAGTCTCATGGTGAGCAAGAAGAAACAGATTAGAGGGCACAGGGAAAATGCAGACTGACTTCTTCCTTTAAAACACCCTATTAAAGGTGATAATGGTACTTCAGGGTTTCCCAGAAGGTGACACATCTGTCCGCTTCACTTCACTTTCACCGAAACTGCCTTTCGGTTTCCGAGAATTCTCAATGAGATTCTAAGATGTCTAGTTAGTAAAAGACAGAAGTGGCAGCTTTGATCATATCAAATTTAAAAAGAATAATCAGGACTCAAGAGGGATAAATGGTTTCTGTAAATAAATAAACAAAAAAATAAATAAAGTATCTCTACATGGATAAGACAGAGAATAATGAGAAAATCTTTTAATGGTAAAACTTCTTCCTTTTTCTGCAATAAACACAATTAGATTCCCTGTGCAACAAGAGAAATAGCATCTTAGAGCTGGAGAAGCCTCATTGTCCATGAGTCAGATGTCACTTAGGTATGACCCTTTTGTTTAAAGATGAGAGAAGGCAAGCCCAGGAGAAGGCAGAGGTTTCCCAGACAAAAAGCCAGTTCAGATGTCCTGCCTTTCAGACCAGTGCTCCTGCCCCTGGATTTCTCTGGTTTATAGCTAACTAAGATGGTAGCAGAGAGAACACATTTTAAAATTTAGTAATGAGAAAATTAATACAACTTCAAGATTTAATTATATTACCATTTCCCAAACGTGTGTTTCTCAGGTTACTGATC